AATAATATTTCAATACATTAAAAAAAACAACAAAATAAAATAGCAAAAAACAAAGATTTATACTGAAAAAATCAATAGAGGTGATAAAATAAAATACCAAACAATTTTGATTAGTCCAATAGGATGCAAATAGGAGGAACTGTGTTTTTTGAAAAGGGTACAGATATGTGGAAAACAAAAAGCAAATGTTAGATTTAAATCTTACCAGAGAAATAGCTATAATGAATACAAATGGACTAAATACTTCAATTAAAAAGAAGAGATTGACAAACAACTCACTTTAAAAATAAAGAATTGATAAGACAGTAAAGTAATAGAAAAAGATACACCTTGCAAAAAGATATTCCGTGTGCATGGATACACAAAGATAGCAGGGTTAGCTATGCTTACATCAGACAAAATAGTCTTCAGGTCAAAAACTGTAAAAAAGAGATGAAGAAAGACATTATATAATAATATTTCAATACATTAAGAGGATATAACAATTGTAAATATATATGCACCCAAAATTAGAGCAGTAAATATATAAAGCAAATTTTAAATAATTTAAAGGGAGAGATAAACTAAAAAGCATTGTAGGAGATGACTTTAATACTTTTTTAAAATTTTTTGTCTAGAAACAGGGTTTTGCTCTGCTGCCTGGGCTGGAGTGCAGTGACATAATCATAGCTCACTGCAACCTTGAACTCCTGAGCTCAAGCAATCCTCCTGCCTCCAGCCTCTGAAGTAGCTAGGACTACAGGCACGTGCCACCACCATGCCTGGCATTTTTTTTTTTTTTTTTTTTTTTTTTTTTTGTCTTGTAGAGATGGGGTCTAGATACGTTGTGCAGGCTGGTCAACTTGAACTCCTGGCCTCAAGGGATCCTCCCTCCTAGGCTTTCCAAAGTGTTGAGAGTACAGGTGTGAGCCACCAGCATGAGCCTGGTCAATATTTCACTTTCAACAAGGAATAGAACATCCAACAGAAAATCAAAAAGGAAACATTGGCCTTTAAACCAAATGGACCTAATGGACATATACAGAACATTTCATCCAATAGCAACAGAATACACTCTTTTCTGGAGCACATGGAACATTGTGCAGGAGTCTATGTTACAGCACAACATAAGTTAAGAAGACTGAAGTTATATCAAGTGTCCCTTGTAATCACAATGGTATGAAACTAGAAAATAAGAACAGGAGAAATCTTGGAAAATGCACAAACATGTGGAAATTAAACGACCTGCTCCTGAATAACAATGAGCCAAAGACGAAATCACAGAGGAAACAAAAAATATCTTGGGACAAATAAAAATGAAAATACAACACAATATGAAAATGGAAAAATCTCAAGAAGCAACCTAACTTTACAGCTCAAGCAACCAGGGAAAGAACAAACTAAACCCCAAGTTAGCAGAATAAAAGAAACAATAAAGATCAGTGCAGAAATAAGTGACATTGAGACTTGAAAAACAGCAGAAAAAAATCAATACAATTGAGAATTGGATTTTTTGAAAAGATAAGCAAAATTCACAAACCTTTCCCTAAGCAATACAAAAGACAGAAGACTCAAATAAAAACAGAAATGAAAGAAGAAACATTAAAACTGAGACCACAGAAATAAAAAAGATCATAAAAAACTACTATGTACAGCAACCAATCAGATAATCTAGAAGAAATGGATATATTCCTAGAAACATACCAAGTATGACTCATTAAGAAATAGAAAATATAGACTGGGCGTGGTGGCTCACGCCTGTAATTCCAGCACTTTGGGAAGCCAAGGTGAGTGGATCCCTTGAGACCAGGAGTTCAAGACCAGCCTGACCAACATGGAGAAACCTCATCTCTACTAAAAATACAAAAAATAGCAGGGTATCAGGGCACACGCCTTAATCCCAGCTTCTTGGGAGGCCAAGGCATGAGAATTGCTTGAACCCAGGAGGCAGAGGTTGCATAGCCAAGATCGTGCCACTGCACTCCAGCTTGGGCAACAGAGCAAGACTCTGTCTCAAAAAAGAAGAAAAGAAAAGAAAAACAAAGAAAATAAAAATAAGTATAAAAAAGGAGATTGAATTAGTAATAAAAAGTCTCCCACCAAAGACAAGCTCAAAAACTGATGGCTTCACTGATGAATCCTACAAAACATTTAAAGGAGAACTAATACCAGTATCTCTGAAGCTCTTCCAAAAAATGGAAGTGGAGCTAGGATTTCCAAACTGACTTGATGAGGCCAGCATTACTCTGATACCAAAGCCACACAAAGACACTATTTAAAAAACTACAGGCCAAGATCTCCAATGAACATAGATGCAACAATTCTCAATAAATACTAGTAAACCAAATTCAACAACACATCAAAAACATCGTATGAACAAGTGGAAATTATCCCTGGGATAGGCAAAATAATCCATATGATACCCCACATTAACAGAAGGAAAGATAAAAACCACATGGTTATCCCCATTGATTCATAAAAACCATTCGACAAAATTTAACATTCATGATTTTTTTCAAAAAAGCTCTCAGCAAAATTGGTATAGACAAAAACTTCCTAAACATAGAAAGGCTATTCATGAAAAGTCTACAGCTAATATCATAATGGGAAAAACTGAAATCTTTTATTCTGAAATCCTGTGCAAGGGAAGGATGCCCCTCTCACCACTTCAACACAGAACTGAAAGTACTAGCAAGAGCAATCAGGAAAGAAAAAGAAATAAAAACATTTAAGTTAGAAGGGAAAAATTAAATTATCCCTATTTGCAGAGAGCATGATTCTCTATGTAGAAAACCTTAAAGACTCCAATAACAATTGTTAAAACCAATAAATTTAATAAAGTTGCAGGATAAAAAACCAACACACAAAAAGCGGCAGCATTTCCACACATTAACAACAAACTATCTGAAAAAGAAACCAAGGAAACAACCCCACTTGCAATATCATTAAAAAAATTAAATACTTAAAAATAAATGTAACCAAGAAAGTGAAATATCTGTGCACTGACAACTCTAAAACAATGAAATAAAGCGAAGACACAAATAAGTGAAAAGATACCCCACGGAGAGCATGACGTGCCAAGGACGAAGAAGAGTTTTATTGAGTATTATAACAACTCAGAGGAATGCAGCTCCTCCCTGCAGGCTGGCTGCCCATGGAGTGCTCAGCTCCAAGCAGACAGGAGGCCCTGGAGAGATTAACTCCTCTCCACAGGCAAGTAATTCGGTGTCTCCGCAGGTCTCCGAGGCTCTCAGCAGAGAAAGCAGCTCCTCCCTGCCTGCAGCTCCTCCCTGCCTGCAGCTCCTCCCTGCCTGCAGGTCTCTACAGCTCTCTCCAGCCGGCCGTCTGTCCACTCACCTGCCTCCACTCTAGGCTCTGGTCGTCCTCCGGCCTCTGCTCTGCCTGGTCCCGGGACTTTCATAACCTCAGAGCGGAGGAAGCACAGGCCGACTGGCCCCTGCGTGGCCCTGGGCGGGACTGGAGGAGGCACCGCGAGTCCCCACTCAGGTCCGCAGGACTGGCAGCGCAGCCTTCAAGGCCCGGCCTGACCTGAAAGTGGGACCTTTACTGGGGGGACCTCCCCCCTTCCGCCGAGGACTCCGCCTGCCTCCTGTGGTCATTCAAGGCCCCCAGGGCTCGGCCCTAAACCCGCCCCGAGATCGGAGCAGAGAGAGGCCGGGTAACCGGAGCAGACGCCCCAGAGCCCGCGGGGACAGAGCGGGGAAGGGAGGGGTCCTTCGGGGCCCCCGAGGGTGCAGGCTGCGGAGATGCCCGGGTCCTGCAGGGAAGAGGGCAGCTGCGGCGCCCGGGAAGGCCGAGGCCGACCCTCCCTACGCCCGGCCGCCGTCCCGCTGGAGCCCAGGAGCGCTCGGAGCAGGTGCGGTTCGGGCTGCTCTAGCCCCGCCCCCCTGGGTGCGGCTCCTGCCGGCTCCGTAGAGCGCGAGGCCGGGTCTGCAGCGGCGGTTTGGGCGCGGGGGCTCCGGTCCCAGCTCAGAAGGGTGGGGCTCCACCAGCTCCGTGGACTGTGCAGCCCCAGCCGTGCTGCGTGTTGGCAACAGCTACTGCCATCAGCAGAGTGGGGGAAAGACCTCAGCCAAGCGGGCGTCAGGTGATCCCCAGCCCCACAGGGAATCTTAATGGGACGACAACGATCCCAGGAACTGGGCATTCCTGCACGTTTTTGGTGGGCTTATAAATTGATACAGCTACTTCGAGGTCAATTTTTGTAATATCTACCAGTTTATAAATGTGAACATCCTTTGACCCAACAATTCCACTCCCGGGAATCTGTTCTGCAGAAATGTTTGCATTAGCATCTAAAGACATAAGACACTCAGTTCGTCAGTATGTACGCAGAGGCTGAAAACCATCCACCTGCTACCAGGGGAACAGACAGTTTATTCGTACTATGGGGTACTATGGCGCTGTACATTTTTATGGTACACAGAAATTTTTACAGGAAGCATGTATCGCTTTGCAATTAAAAAGGAAATGAGGCGGCCACACCCTCCCCAAGTCCCCCATTTTCCTCAGTTCCTCCAGCTGTGCTTTGGCTGAACCCCTAGCCTCTGCTCCACGCCATTTGTGCCAGGACACGCCCATGCACTCCCCACCCGGCAGACGGCCTGGGAAGGAGGCAGCCAGATGGCTCAACACGCCTTGCTTCCCAGGTGACCTGACCCATGGGAAACACAAGCTGGCACTGGGGAGGGTTGGGCGGGCTCTCTCCAAGGGCTTCATCTCCCAGTTTTCTCTTCCCCTGGGCAGGTCGTCCAGCCCATCAGAACAAGATACCAAGCTCCTCTTCTTGCAGGCATCCCCCAAAGTTCCATGTGATTATTTTAGGGGCAGCTTGGAGAGTGGCAAGTACTCCTAACTCCATCCGCATGGAGGGCGGGGAATCAGCTCTTCCCATGAGCACCATGCCCAGGGCCATGGTGACTCCCTCTCCAGCCTACGTCCCACCCCCAGCCCCTCCCAAAGAAATGAGCTCCTCTTTGGACCACTTTTTTATTTCACACATTTCTTTTATTTATATTTATATTTTATTTTATTTATATTTATATTTATATTTATGATCAGTGCAAACAATTCCATAACATAAAAACTTATGAAGAATCAAAGCATGATTATTTAAATTCAAAATAGACAGTCAATGCAAAATAATACAAGTATAAAAGTGGGTTCATTTGCACACACAGCAGCATGCGTTTCAACACATATGTCCAAGGATGGTGAATAGTTGTCTTTTTCTCTTGAAGACTGTGACAACATCAGATACTACAATGAATCTGTGTTCACATAAGCCAAAATTTGTTTCTAAAAATACATGTTCACATTTAAACTACTGTCAAGATATGCTTTCCAGAATTAAGCCTCTAGTTTCTAACATCTAAAAACTGATACAATGCTGGGTTTAGTGGCTCATGCCATAATCCCAACACTTTGGGAGGCTGAGGTGGGAGGATCACTGGAGGCCAGGAGTTCAAGACCAACCTAGGCAACAAAGCAAGACCCCATCTCTATAAAAATAAATAATATTTTTAAATAAATAAAAGCAGATATAGAAAGTGTTCCAAATGTAACTCTTCTCATTACCAAAGGTTAAAAAATAAGTATTTTCAAAAGTAATTTAAAATAATTGTTGGAAGTTTAATAGTGCTAGTCTCTTTCACCTAACTCCAGGATGGAAGCCTCTGGTTTGGAATCCGTATGCCAGGGCCAGGCCTCCCAACAACTCCACTTCCTTTCTTCTTCCTTCCCAGGATCTTTGTCTACCCTGACTCCAGGCAGTGCAGTGTCTGGGAATTGTGCTGCTTCCAAAGCCCAGAATTCAGTCCGTCAGGGGCCAAGGCTCAGGGGGTCCTCCACACTGATGAGACTTAGGGGGCTCCTCCTCTAGCCAGCGGACCCCTGAGTACCGGCTGCCACAGTCCACATCGGGCTGAGGACCTCTCACCTCCTTTCCCAGTAACAATGCAAAGATTTTGTAGAGAAAGGTCCAAAACCATGTCATTGCTGGGACTCCACGCAGTGGCTGCTGTGGCTGCCTCCCTGAGATGTTCTCCAGTCCTCCTGTGGAGTGTGGCCTTGGAAAAGAGCTGGTCGGCAGGCGCCCTGGGGGAGCCCTGAAACCGGGAAACAGGGAAGCAGCAGGTGGGTTGGGCAGCACTGGCACTGGCTGGGTGTTTCTTGGGCCCGAGGCTGTTTTCGGAAGGGTGAGCCCTGCACAAGCTGGAGCCCAACTGTCATCTGTTACTAACCTGAGCACTCACTGGAGAGCCAGAGACTTAGTGCATCTGACCACAACTTTTTTTTTTTTTTTTTAAAGATGGAGTCTTGCTCTGTGGCCCAGGCTGGAGTGCAGTGGCAGGATCTCCGCTCACTGCAAGCTCCGCCTCCCGGGTTCCCGCCATTCTCCTGCCTCAGCCTCCTGAGTAGCTGGGACTACAGGCACCGCCACAGCGCCCAGCTAATTTTTTTGTATTTTTAGTAGAAACGGGGTTTCACTGTGTTAGCCAAAATGGTCTCGATCTCCTGACCTTGTGATCCACCCGCCTCGGCCTCCCAAAGTGCTGGGATTACAGGCATGAGCCACCGCGCCCGGCCATCTGACCACAGCTTTTAACTGTCACCTTCTTGCTGAACAAGTTGCTCTCAGTGGGTGGGAGAAGCGGGATAATGGACAGAGATCGAGAAACTAAGCAAGGTCAGTGCAGAGAAAATGCTGAAGTGCAATTAGGTTTCTCTGTTGACCGTCATGGGGAGGGAACCTCTGGCACAGTAAAAAGGCATCCTAGACTTCTGATTTTTGCTCTGCCTTAAGAAGAGCTCAGCGGCATCATTCCCACACTTACAGGGAAACAACTGAACAAACTAAAATACAAATAGCTCCTTGTAGATCACAGGGCAAACTGCTGCCCTGAAAACTGGAGAGACAGAGGCTGATACAAAAATTCACAACTCATCACGAGCAGAAGCCCAAGAGGAGAAGCCTGCCTGGAGCCAAAACAAGTAGGAACAACTAGACTGAAATAAACCAGCTGCTGGAGGCAGAGGCTGGACCAGTCAGAGTTAAAAACCCTAGCCTTGAGGGCTCCCACACTTTCTTGAGTTTTATCTCCAGGAGCCCCACCAGGTCCCCGCTGTGAAGATTGGAGGGAAACCTCATGCCTCCAGCAGGGGCAGAGGAAAAGCAACCATCTGCAAATGTAGCAGAGCATTCTTTTCTCCTCCAGTTTCCCTGCAACAAAGGCCAGCACACATGGGAGTCTAGATGAAAGCCTGACCTGACCCAGGGAGGGTCAATGACCCAGCGCTAGCCTCTCTAGCCACCCTGTCACATCTAAGTGGGAGCGGAGGTGAGCAGCACGTGCGGAGGTCATACAGCAAATGCAGAGACCACAGAACCACTGAGACCTAATCACAAGACAAGGGAATATTCCCCTCCCCACCTCCATGGCAGCAGGATTCCTGTACAGCAACAGCGGATCACAGTGAGAGACCTGCAAGGCTCAGACTGTTTCAGAAGGGCTTTCCAGAGGAGGCAAATGCAACACTAGAGGAAACTGCAGCCTCAGACCTCTACAGCTACAGCAAATAGTAAACACAGCATAATTCTCCTAGCGAGATAAACACCAACCATCTCCCTAAAGCCAATATATCTAAGTTCCTATTACCCAATACATCATGTCTGGTTTTCAACAAAACTTTACAAGGCATGCTCGAGGGCAACAGAAAACAATCTAAAGAGGAAAAGAAAGCAGGAGAACCAGATTCAGATATGGCAATAATTTCGAAATTACCAGACTAGTCTCTTAAAATAAGTATGATCAATGTACTAAGGATGCTAATGAAAAAAGCGAACAATGTAAAGAACAATGGATAATATAAGTAGAAAGATTGAAACTCTGAGAATAAAATAAATAGAGGCTGGCTGCAGTGGCGCACACCTGTAATCACAACACTTTAGGAAGCTTGAGCCCAGGAGTTCGAGACCAGCCTGGGCCACAAAGTGAGACCTTGTGGTTTCTATTAAAAAAGAAAAAAATAGCCAGGCATAGTGGCTCATGCCTGTAATCCCAGCACTTTGGGAGGCCAAGGCGGGTGGACCACCTGAGGTCAGGGGTTCAAGACCAGCCTGGCCAACCTAGTGAAACCCCATCTCTACTAAAAATATGAAAATTAGCTGGGCATGGTGGTGCGTTCCTGTAATCCCAGCTACTTGGGAGGATGAGGCAGGAGAATCACTTGAACCTGGAAGGCAGAGGTTGCAGTGAGCCGAGATCGCACCATTACACTCCAGCCTGGGCAACAGAGCAAGACTCTATCTCAAAAAAAGGAAAAAAAATTAATTTACAAAAACTATTTTTTTTTAATTTTTAAAAAGAAACACTAGAAATGAAAACCCCATAACAGAAATGCCGGATGCCTCTAAGGGACTTAGTTGTAGCCTGGGTGTGGCTGAGGAAAGAATCTCTGAACTTAAGATTATCTCAGAAGAGAATTCGTACAGAGAATATCTCAATAGAAACTTCCCAAACTGAAACACGAGAAAAGAGAAGGAAAAACGCCAGAACAGGGCCAGGTATCGTTGCTCACACCTGTAATCCCAATGTTTTGGGAGGTGGAGGCAGGAGGATTGCTTGAGTTTGAGACCAACCTGGGAAACATACTGAGACCATATCTCTACAAAAAGAAAAGTAAAAAAATAGCCAGTCATGATGGCACGTGCCTGTGGTCCCAGTTACTTGGGAGGCTGAGCTGGGAGAGTCAGTTGAGCCAGGAGGTCCAGGCTGCAGTGAGCCATGTTTGTACCACTGCACTCCAATCTGGGCAATAGAGAAAGACCAAGAAAGAAAAAAAAGAAGAGAAAAGAAAAGAGAGAAAGGAAATATTTGAAGTAATAATGGCTACAAATTTCCCACAATTAGTGTCAGATACCAAACTACAGATCCAGGAAGATCAGGGAATACTAAGTAGAATAAAAAACAAAAACGCTTTACCTAGATACATCATAATCAAATTGTAGAAAACCAAAGACAAAAAGGGAAACCGTGAAAGAAGCTGAAGAGGTGCAGGAAGGTTGTTGGGTGGGGGACACCCTACTGGTAGAGGAACAAGGATAAGTATTATATCATAATTCTTGTCATAAACCATGCAAACAACAAGTGAGTAGTGAAATTTATTTAAAGTGTTAAAATTTTTTTAAAAAGCCACCCTAGAAATCTATATTCAGTGAAATTATGCTTCAAAAGTGAAGGAGAAAGTAAGATTTATCCTTGGGATGCAACGTTAGTCTAACATGTGCAAATCAATCAATGTGATACATCACATCAACAGAATAAAAGGGAAATAAATACCAAATCATCTCCATAGATGCAGAAAAAGATTTGACTCAATACAAGGCAAGGATCCACACTTGCCACTTCTAGTTAACATAGTACTGAAAGAATTAGCAAGAATAGACAAGCACAAGAAATAAAAGGCATCCAAATTGGAAAGGAATGCTGATGCGATGGCTCACACCTGCAATCTCAGCACTTTGGGAGGCTGAAGTGGGCAGATCACTTGAGCCCAGGAGTTTGAGACCAGCCTAGGCAATATGGTGAAACCCTGTCTCTGCAAAAAAATTTTAAAAACTAGCTGGGCATAGTGGCACATGCCTGTAGTTCCAGCTACTCAGGAGGCTGAAGTGGGAGGATCACTTGAGCCTGGGAAGCAGAGGTTGCAGTGAGCCAACCTTACGCCACTGTACTCCATCCTGGGCAACAGAACAAGACCTTTTCTCAAAAAACAAACAAACAAAACAAACAAATAGGCAAGGAAGAATTAAGTTATCCCTGTATGTAGATGACATATTCTATATGTAGAAAAGTTATCCCTGTATGTAGATGACATTCTATATGTAGAAAACCCTAGGGACATCACTTCTAAAAATGGCTAGAACTAATAACAAATTCAGTAGGACTTGTAGGTTAATTGGGCATAAAAAAATCAACAGCATTTCTTTTTCTTTTTTTTTTTTTAAGATAGAGTCTCGCTCTGTTGCCCAGGCTGGAGTGCAGTGGTGTGATCTTGGCTCACTGCAACCTCTGCCTCCTGGGTTCAAGTGATTCTCCTGTGTCAGCCTCCCGAGTAGGTGGGATTACAGGTGTGCACCACCATGCCCAGTTAACTTTTGTATTTTCAGTAGAGACACGGTTTCACCATGTTGGTCAGGCTGGTCTCGAACTCCCGACCTCATGATCCACCCACCTTGGCCTCCCAAAGTGCTGGGATTACAGGCGTGAGCCACCGCGCCCGGCAGAAATCAACAGCATTTCTATATATTGACAATAAACTGTCAAAAAAGGAAATCAAGCCATTTACAACACATCCCCAAAATACATAAAATAAATTTTCCCAAGGAAGTGAAAGATCTGTACATAAACTATATAACATTGATGAAATAAAGACTACAGAAATAAAAAGATATCCTGGGTTCATGAATTAGAAGAACATTGTGAAAATTATTATACTACCCAAAGTGATCTACAGATTCAATATAATTCCTATAAAAATTCCAATAACATTCTTCACAGAAATAGAAAAAAATCTTAAAATTCATATGGAACCACAAAAGACCCCAAATAACCAAAGGAATCTTAAGCAAAAAGAACAAAGCTAGAGGCATCACACTACCTGACTTCAAAACATATTACAAAGCTGTAGTAATCAAAACAGAATAGTACTGACATAAAACCAGACATATTGAACTGAATAGTAAGCCTTGAAATAAATTTATATATTTACAATCAATTGATTCTCAACAAAGATGCCAAGAACTCACAATGGGGAAGGACAATCTCTTCAATAAATGATGTTGAAACAACTGTATGTGCAAAAGAATGAGATTAGACTTTATCTCTCACCATATACAAAAATCAACTCAAAATGAATTAAAGATCTAAATGTAAGAACTGACACTGTAAAGCCCCTAGAAGAAAACAAAGGTGAAAAAGCTCTGATATTGATTGGCCTTGGCAATGAATTTTTGGATTTCTCACCAAAAGCTCAGGCAACAAAAGCAAAAACAAAACAAGTAGGACCACATCAAAAAAAGAGATTCTGCATAGCAAAGGAAATAAGCAACAAAATGAAAAGGCAACATATGGATTGGAAGAGAATATTTGTAAACCATGTATTAGATAAGGGCTTAATGATCCAAAATATGTATGAAACTCACACAACTTAATAGCAAAAATAAAAATAAAACAGGCAAAGGACCTGAATAATTTTCCCAAAGACGACACACAAATGGCTAACAGGTATATGAAAAGGTGTTCAACATCACTAATCACCAGAGAAATGCAAATAAACCACAATGAAGTATCACTTCATACCTGTCAGAATGGCTGTTATCAAAAGACAAGATGACTGCATGGTGGCTCACACTTGTAATCCCAACACTTTGGGATGCCAAGGCGGGAGGATTACTTGAGGGCAGGAGATCAGAACCAGTCTGAGTGACATAGTGGGACCCCCATCTCTACAAAAAATAAAAAATAATAATCAGCCAGATGTGGTGATACATACCTGTAGTCATAGCTACTCAGGAAGCTGAGGCCAGAGGATCACTTAAGCCCAGGAATTCAAGGTTGGAGGGAACTAAGATCACACCATTGCACTCTTCTCCTGGTGACAGACTGAAACTGTCTCTAAAACTAAAGAAAGGAATAAATAAGTCAGAAGGTAAGTGTTGGTGAGGGTCTGGAGGAAAAGGAACCCCTATATGCTGTTGGTGGGAATGCACTGCATAGCCATTATGGGAAGTAGCATACAGGTTCTTCATAAAAATCAAATATAGAACCACCATATGACCCAGTGATCCCTCTGGTGCATGTATACCCAAAGGAAATGAATCCAGTATCTTGTAGCCAGATCTGTGTTCCCATATTCACTGCAGCATTACTCACCACAGCCAAGATATAGAAACAACCTAAGGGCTCACTGTGGGTGAGTGGATAAAGAAATTGTGAGAAATACATACATATGAATATTATTCAGCCTTAAAAGAGAAGGATATATGCTGTTTGTCACAACATGGATGAACCTGAAGGACATTATCTACATGAAATAAGTCAGACACAGAAATAAAAATACTAAATGATCTTATGTATAGGTGGAATCTTAAAAGAAGTCAAACACATAGAAACGAAAAGCAGAACAGTGGTTACCAGGGGCTGAGAGGTGAGAAAATTAGAGACGTTGGTCAAAGGGTACAAACTTATAGTTATATAAAACAAGTCTAAATATCTAACAGACTATATGAGGACTACATTTAATAACCTTGTATGCTGAAAATTTGCTACAGTAGATTTTAGGTGCTCTTATCATACAAAATGTAACTATGTAAAGTGATGGTGTGTTCATTTGCTTGACTACAGTAAATCATTTCACTGTATTTGTATATATGAAAACATTGTGTTGTATGCCTGAAATATATACAATAGAAAATAAATAGAAATTTTTATAAAATGAAGGAGAATTAAGGGCTTTCTTGGACAAACAAAAACCACACAAAGAAAAACTGAGGGAATTTGTTGCCAGTAGACCCATATTGTAAGAAGTGTTAAAGTTATTCAGAGAGAAGGTAAATGTTATATTTCTGAAACTTGGAGCTACATAAAGAAGGGAAGTATGTTAGATTAAGAATAAATGAAGGTAAAATAAAACCTTAATTTTTCTTATTATTAATTGACCTAATAGATAGCTTCAAAATAATAATAGCAAATGTACTGTAAAAATACAGCTATGGATAAGTTAAATGAATGACAGCAATGTGAATGCTTCTGTTACAAGGTACCCACGCTACCCATGAAGTGGATTTGAGAATGGATTTAAATTACTTATAAACTAGCCAGGTGCAGTGGCTCGTGATTCCAGGCTCATGCCTGGAATCTCAGCAATTTGGGAGGCCAAAGCAGAATCCGCATGAGCCCAGGAGTTTGAGACCATCCTGGGCAACATAATGAGACCCCATCTGTACAAATATTGTTTTAAAAAAATTAGCTGGGCGTGGTGGTGCATACCTTAGTCTCAGCTACTTGAAGGGCTGAGGTGAGAGGGCTGCTTGAGTCCAGGAGTTCAAGGCTGCAGTGAGCTATTATCGCACCACTGCACTCAAGGGTAGGTGACAGAGTGACCTATCTCAAAAAATAAACAACAAAAAATTACCTATAAATTAGTTGCAAAAGTATCCTGGAAAACTTAAGGAAGCCTTAATTTTAAAATAGATAGGGTCTCGCTGTATTGCCCAGGCTGGTCTTGAACTCCTGGGTTCAAGCCAGCTTCCTCCTTTAATCTTCCAAAGTGTTGGAATTCTAGGCATGAGCCACCAAACCCAGCCTAAATCATTTTTAAAAGAAGTTTAATTGCTATGCTAAGAGATGAGAGAAAATAAAATAATACAAAATGCTCAGTTAAAAACCGAAGACAGAAGGAAAGAGCTTTTTTAAAAAAAGAAGTAAGGAACAAGTGAATGAATAAAATGTTACAAATGTGGTAGATATTAATCCAACTATATCAATAACCACTTAAATATAAAATGGTTTAAATACACCAGTTAAAAGGCAGAGACTATGGAGTAGATAATGACTCAACTACATGTTGTCTACAAGAACGAATTTTAAATATAAAGACACAGATAAAGAATAAAGGGATGGATGAAAATATATAATGCTAACACTAATCAAGAAAATCCTGGAATAGCCATATTAATTTCAAACAAGGCAGATTTCTCGAACAAAATTATCAGGGATAAATAGAAGCATGACATTGCAAAGAGGTCAGTTTCCATGAAAACACAACAATTCTTAACATGTGTTCCCCTAACAAGAGATTGTCCAAATACATGAGGCAGAAGCTAATATCTCAAACAACGCAACCGTAGTTGAACTCAATCATCAAACAAACTGAACTCTTATTAATTATAGAATATTCATCCACTGAGAGCAGAATACACATTCTTTCTGAAGCTTACAGCTAATATCTAAGATAAATCACATTCTGAACTATAAAAAGACACCTCAAAAACATTTAAAAGAAAAATATCACACAGCATTTCTTGCACCACAATGGATAAAAACTAGAAATCAGTAACAGATAGCTGAAAGTTTCTCAAATATTTGAAGATTAAATAAGATACTTAAATAATACACAGGTCAAAGTCTCAGGATAAAATTAAAAATGTTTTAACCTGAATGAAATATGAAAATAGAATCCTACTAAAATTTATAGGATGGTATGAAAGTAGTGCTACAAGGAAAATTTATAGCATTAAATAATTATATTAGAAAGGAACAAAGATCTAAACTAATAATCTAAGCTTCCTATATTAGAAAACTAGAGAGAAAACTAGAGAGAAAAGATAATTGTAAGTCTGGAAACAGAAAAAATAAATAATAAAATTAGAGCAAAAAAATCAATGAAAATGAAAACAAATACATATAGCAAAAAAAATCAATAAAATCAAAGCTGTCTTTTGAAAAGATCAATAAAATTGGTAAACTTACAGCGAGGCACAAAAAAGAGAAAGGACATAAATTGCTAATAATGAAATGGAAAATGGACATTACTTTTACTGATCTCAAGTGATATTAAAAATATAACAAAAATATGTTCAACAATCATACCACAAATTTGCAACTTAGATGAAATAGACTAATTCCTTAAAAGATAATCTACTGAAATTCACACTAAGAAAAGAGACAATATGAAAAGACTCATGTATTAACCATATCAAGGCCGGGCACGATGGTTCACACCTATAACTTCACACTTGGGAGCTGAGGCAGTCAGATCACTGAGTTCAGGAGTTCAAGACCAGCCTGGCCAACATGGCAAAATCCCGTCTCTACTTCAAAAACATAAAAAATTAGCCAGACATGATGACATATCCCTGTGGTCCCAGCTACTCAGCGGGCTGAGACAGGAGGATGTCTGAGCTCGAGACTGAGCTGCAGTGAGTCCCCGATCGTGCCACTGCATTCCAGCCTGGACGACAGAGGGAATCTCCGTCTGAAACAAACAAACAAACAAAAAAACGATGTAATTCATGCCCTCACCAGACTAAGCAAGAAAAATCATATGATCACATAAATAGATGCAGAAAAGCATTTGACAAAATTCAACACTCAGTTATGATACAACCTCAGCAAAACTAGGACAGAGGAATTCCTCAATCTTTGATAAAGAACATCTACAGGCCGAGCATGCTGGCTCATGCCTACAATCCCAGCACTGTGGGAGGCCAAGGCAGAAGGATTGCTTGAGGCCAGGAGCTTGAGATCAGCTCATAAACACAGAGATTCCATCTCTAAAAAGACACACACACACACACACACACACACACACACACACACACACATCTACAGAAAAAAACTAGCTAACATCATACTTAATGGTTAGGTGAGAAAACCAGGTGTTTTCTCCTGGGATCAGCAGCAAGGATAAGTCCCAATACTATCAATCTTACTCAACATTGTACTCAAGTCCTAACTACTTATAAAGATTTTAAAAAGGAAATTAAAGTACAGATCGGGGGAAAAAGAAACTGTCTTTCATAGATGATATGATTGTCTATGTAGAAAATACTAAAGTATTGGACCAAAACTCCTGAACGAATAGAGATTATAGGCAAGATTTTTCTCCTTTTTCTTTTTTTTCTTTCTTTTTTTTATTTTTGAGATGGAGTCTCACCGGTATTGCCCAGGCTGGAGTGCAGTGGCTCGATCTCGGCCCACCGCAACCTCTGCCTCCCGCGTTCAAGTGATTCTCCTGCCTCAGCCTCCTGAGTAGCTGAGAGATTACAGGCAGAGCCACCATGCCCAGCTAATTTTTCTAATTTTAGCAGGGACCAGGTTTCACCATGTTGGCAAGGCTGGACACGAATTCCTGACTTTAACTGAACCACCCGCCTCGGCCTCCCAAAGTGCTGGGATTACAGGACTGCCACTGCACCAGCCAGATTATAGCAAGATTACAATGTAGTGAATTATCGTAATTTTGTGTTGCCTCAGCACCCATTTTTAAGGGAAGTTTAACTTTCCTACGCCAGAAGGAGAGCTCAGTCACCTTTGACGAAGTTTTCAGGTTCTACATCTCCTCCCAGTTCCCTCAAGGTGGTCAGTCTTGCACAACTGCCTCCCGGTGCCCACCTCCACATGGGACAGCTACATACAGCCCACTCCGACCAGCCCTGCATACTCTATGTAGTGGGACCTGATGGCTGCACATGAGATTTCAAGTCATAGGGTAATGGACTGACTGCTTGTTTGCTTTAACTATGCTCATCAGATGCCTTAATAGTGGCTGACTCAGGTTTCTCCAGGAGCCTTTAGTGTCTCTACATCAAATAGCACCCGTGATATAACAAGGCTCAATGCCCAGACATTCCAGGGTCAATTTCAATGGTATTGACACAGCAGAGGTTGCTGCCTATGTATTAGAAGTAGAACACCACACCCAAATGGCCCAAAAGCCAGTGGCCAAGGATGAAACCTCAGAGTGAACTTCTTCTGCCTTCCACATAGTCCCCACTTGTCCACCACTTCCTTTTAAATGGACCATTCAGGCATTTGCCCTTT